CCATCCATCCATCCATCTATCTATCTATCCATCCATCCATCCATCCATCCATCCATCTATCTATCTATCTATCCATCCATCCATCCATCCATCTATCTATCTATCTATCTATCCATCCATCCATCCATCCATCCATCTATCTATCTATCTATCCATCCATCCATCCATCCATCCCTTACTTTTTGACTTTCTCCTGTAAGTTCTTCGAGCATCGTGTGCGATGTGTCACCTGAAAGCTCTTCCCAGGGAGGGAAAGTGTGATGGCGTCACACCAGAGTGGAATCTTCACGCTCACATGTCTTTTTTCCTCTGCAGACATTTTAACTCGTCAAACATAATCACATAATAGCGGCTGCATTCCATTTAGGTGGTGCCCTGCTATTGTGCATGCTCGGTCACCCGCACACCTGGATGTATCAGAGCCGTCTTCAGTGACATGAGCTGTGCCTTTCTGCTGTGACATGTCAAAATGTCTTTTCCTGATGGAACCACAGGATTTTTGAGGATGAACACGTCATAAACTATTGATTGCATGTTTCAAAAGTCTCTTTAGGAAGTTTTCATTAGTGCCCGAAAGATAATCTGAACAGATAAAGTGTCTTGTTGAACCAGTGACTGATGAAGTATCTTATCCCTCTTTGGTGACGCTGTGGTGGAGGTGATGATTCAATGCTATGGTCAGTTTTGTGGCTTTAATTAATTAATGGATGTGTTGTATTGGGTTTATTGACAGGGATCTTATCTCGTGAGCATAGAATATTTTAGTCGCCAGGAAAAAGCTGTTGTTTGGACATTGTCATGTTAAATTTTTAGGTTACATGTTACGCTGTCCCGTTACGCTGTCCTGTTACGCTGTCCCGTTACGCTGTCCCGTTACGCTGTACTGTTACGTTGTCCCGTTACGTTGTCCCGTTACGTTGTCCCGTTACGTTGTCCCGTTACGTTGTCCCGTTACGCTGTCCCATTACGTTGTCCCGTTACGCTGTCCCGTTACGCTGGCTGTCCTGTTACGCTGTCACGTTGCGATGTTATGTTGCGATGTTACGTTGCGATGTTACGTTGCGATGTTACGTTGCGATGTTACGTTGCGATGTTACGTTGGGATGTTACGTTGGGATGTTACATTGTGATGTTATGTTGTGACGTTAGTCTGTCACGTTACGCTGTCACGTTACGCTGTCACGTTACGCTGTCCTGTTACGCTGGCTGTCCTGTTACGCTGTCACGTTACGCTGTCACGTTGCGATGTTACATTGCGATGTTACATTGCGATGTTACGTTGGGATGTTACGTTGTCATGTTATGTTGTGACGTTAGTCTGTCACGTTACGCTGTGACGTTGCGATGTGACGTTGCGATGTGACGTTGCCATGTTACGTTGTCACGTTGCGATGTCACGGTATGCTGTCATGTTATGCTGTCATGTTATGCTGTTACGTTATGCTGTCACGTTGTTGATGTCATGAAAGTAGAGTTCAACCAAACATCAACTCACACAACGGGTACAGGTACAGGTATGTGATGCATTTACAAACTGCATTCTTCACTCCGTGTCAGAGAAAGGTCTGTGACGGACTGAAACATTGCTCAAACAATTAAAGTCACCGTGGGAGCGAGTTCTCTCTGAGTGATTTCTCTCGGAGCAGGAATGCTGCCAGCGGAGAGCGACTCCCTCCCCAGCCGGCTGCAGTGCGTCACCACAGACAGTTGTTGCTCTCGGATGCTCAGCCGGCCCGCGGTAATGAAATCCGAGCGCCTGTTATGGCAGGATGACCTCACCGCAAACAGCCAACCTGCCGCAGCCAAATGAATATAATGAGGTGTCTGTCATGGTTGTCTGGGCGTTAGGTTGTTCGGTTACGGTACCGTAATGGTTAGTTTCCCCTGTTTTCATGAAAAAGGACATTTTTACCCAACATAATAACAACTTGTCCAGTAATTATTGGAACACATACTCTATTCTTTCTCGTTGCTTACTGACGTTCAGAGTCTGATGGTATCAGTGCGCCGACAATATTTGCAGATTACATTTCATATTGTGTAATATTTTAGAAGCTAATCCAAGACACAACAGATGAATAAGGTACAAATAAATAAATATATAAAAAACAGATATCAGCATGAAACTTAAGACAATTATTTTATGCATTGCACCTTTTCTGAAATGTTGTGTTTAAATATGCAAATGAGGCATTATCTAATGGTAACTTTTGGTGAGTTTAGGAGAAATCTACAGACGTAAACAGACAAAGTATAAAATAAATGTTTTCTTTCCTCTAGTCTGAAAGAAGACACATCAGTACATTTCCTGTCGTGTCTCGTCTTTATTTTACAGTTCCTCACAGAGCCAAACAAGAGAAGCTCCACACTTTGACTCACAACCCACCAAACAAAGCTTTTTACTACATTTTAACATCACGTACAATAAAATGAAACAGTCGTGTCTCCGCCTGCCTCATGTGAACAATGATAGAAATCAATTAAAGGCGGTCGCTCTTTGGATCACTGTTGAGCTGCTCTTCAGTCACTTTAATACATTTTTGAAGTACAGAGAAGTAACGTGTGTGAGTCAGAGGGATGGAGTTACCAACGCAATATTGAGTCACACCTGTGACGACTCTCCTCTCCTTCTGGCATACACACACACACACACACAC